TCTATAGATTTTATTTTAGGCAAGTCGTGATGATTTGAGAAGGCTAAATTGATCAAACATAGGCTCACTGTCTGCCGCTGGCCGCTTGGTCGTTACTTTAAAAAACAAAAACGTATATTTAACGAACAAAAAATGCTCCAAACGTTTTTTCTAAATTAACTTAATAAAAAAATGAAACGAAATATAATCACTTCGCCATTACATACAAAACTGAACTATTTTAATAGCTGAAACAGTAGTATAAGCTGTTTTGGGAGAAGGGGGAAAAAAAGACGGGCTCGGGCCGGTAATTCTGATAAGCTGTCAGACACAAGCCGGGCTAGGGCCTATATTTGATGCCCGTGCAGGGCTCTACCAGGAACTATGATGAAGCAGCGCTAAATATATAGCTTTATGTCAAAATACTAATTTATTTAATTTTAAATTAAACAAATGTAATCCTGATAGTAATCTGAATACTTTGTTTTTTGATGTAACTGTAACGGATTACAGTTACTAGATTTTTGTATCCTGATTACATAACGCCGTTACATGTATTCTGTTACTCCCCAACCCTGTTTACAAGAAATTTTAATTTACAAGTAATCAGCACCTTACATTATTATGGGCTAACTATTACACTTCCTGCACCCATAGGGTCCTAAAAATACAATCAAGTTCAAACCTCATTGTGGGAAATGGTAGTAAAAGCTAAATTATTATTTTAATATATTATTATTTATTAAATGTAATTTAGATGTGCTGTGTTCGTTGTCATATCGGACACAAAAATGGCGAGCATAGCGGAAGTGACATCTTCGGTACCCATGGATAGTAACTTGCATCATAGCCTACGAGTCGTACAGTCTGCATACATGTCATACCCAAGTTTATTAGATCCATGTTGCACAGTGTGATTTGTAATGCTCTTATAAGATTGCTGAAATTATGCAGTGTGTAGAAGGCTTTAAACATAGTTTACTCCCCCTCCCACATAAAACAAAACCCCACAATAAAATACAACACAAATACAAACAGCAATAAAACCACATTTCCCTCGTCCAGTGGCTGTCGAGACCTCCGTTGAATCCTGAAGTAATGTCCGTTCGTCGATTCAATGTCCGTTGATCTGTTCCATGTCTCTCATATAAACCGGTGTCCCAGTGTGCACACACATTTACATTTAGTCATTTAGCAGAAGCAATTTAATCATTTATCCAAAGCGACTTACAAATGAGGACAAAGGAAGCAATCAAAATCAACAAAAGAGCAATGATATACAGATGCTATAACAAATCTCAGTTAGCTTAATGCAGTACACATAGCAAGGGTTTTTTAAATAATATAATAAATAAAAAGAAAACAGATAGAATAGAAAAAGAATAGAGCAAGCTAGTGTTAGAAGTCTTTTTGCTTTTGTTAATTGTATAATAAATTAAAAGAAAACATATAGAATACAAAAAGATTAGAAAGCAAGTGTTAGTTTTTGTTTTTT